CGTGGACATGGACGTGGACGTGGGTGGACGTGGACGTGGACATGGACGTGGACGTGGACGTGGACGTGGACGTGGACGTGGACGTGGACATGGACGTGGACGTGGACGTGGACGTGGACATGGACGTGGACGTGGACGTGGACGTGGACGTGGACATGGACATGGACGTGGACGTGGACGTGGACGTGGACGTGGACGTGGACGTGGACGTGGACGTGGACGTGGACGTGGACATGGACGTGGACATGGACGTGGACGTGGACGTGGACGTGGACATGGACGTGGACGTGGACGTGGACATGGACGTGGACATGGACGTGGACGTGGACGTGGACGTGGACGTGGACGTGGACGTGGACGTGGACGTGGACGTGGACGTGGACATGGACGTGGACGTGGACGTGGACGTGGACGTGGACGTGGACGTGGACGTGGACGTGGACGTGGACGTGGACGTGGACATGGACGTGGACGTGGACGTGGACGTGGACGTGGACGTGGACATGGACGTGGACGTGGACGTGGACGTGGACGTGGACGTGGACATGGACGTGGACGTGGACATGGACGTGGACGTGGACATGGACGTGGACATGGACGTGGACGTGGACATGGACGTGGACGTGGACGTGGACGTGGACGTGGACATGGACGTGGACGTGGACGTGGACGTGGACGTGGACGTGGACGTGGACGTGGACGTGGACGTGGACGTGGACGTGGACGTGGACGTGGACGTGGACATGGACGTGGACGTGGACGTGGACATGGACGTGGACGTGGACATGGACGTGGACGTGGACGTGGACGTGGACATGGACGTGGACATGGACATGGACGTGGACGTGGACGTGGACATGGACGTGGACGTGGACGTGGACGTGGACGTGGACATGGACGTGGACGTGGACGTGGACATGGACGTGGACGTGGACATGGACGTGGACGTGGACGTGGACGTGGACGTGGACGTGGACGTGGACGTGGACGTGGACGTGGACGTGGACATGGACGTGGACGTGGACGTGGACGTGGACATGGACGTGGACGTGGACGTGGACATGGACGTGGACGTGGACGTGGACGTGGACGTGGACGTGGACGTGGACGTGGACATGGACGTGGACGTGGACGTGGACGTGGACGTGGACGTGGACGTGGACGTGGACATGGACGTGGACGTGGACGTGGACATGGACGTGGACGTGGACATGGACGTGGACGTGGACGTGGACGTGGACGTGGACGTGGACGTGGACGTGGACATGGACGTGGACGTGGACGTGGACGTGGACGTGGACGTGGACGTGGACGTGGACGTGGACGTGGACGTGGACGTGGACGTGGACGTGGACGTGGACTTGGACGTGGACGTGGACATGGACGTGGACGTGGACATGGACGTGGACGTGGACGTGGACATGGACATGGACGTGGACATGGACGTGGACGTGGACGTGGACGTGGACGTGGACGTGGACGTGGACGTGGACGTGGACGTGGACGTGGACGTGGACGTGGACGTGGACGTGGACGTGGACGTGGACATGGACGTGGACGTGGACGTGGACGTGGACGTGGACGTGGACGTGGACATGGACGTGGACGTGGACGTGGACGTGGAGATGGACGTGGACGTGGACGTGGACATGGACGTGGACGTGGACGTGGACATGGACGTGGACGTGGACGTGGACGTGGACGTGGACGTGGACGTGGACGTGGACGTGGACGTGGACGTGGACGTGGACGTGGACGTGGACGTGGACGTGGACATGGACGTGGACGTGGACGTGGACGTGGACATGGACATGGACGTGGACGTGGACGTGGACGTGGACGTGGACGTGGACGTGGACGTGGACGTGGACGTGGACGTGGACGTGGACGTGGACGTGGACGTGGACGTGGACGTGGACGTGGACGTGGACGTGGATGGACGTGGACATGGACGTGGACGTGGACGTGGACGTGGACGTGGACGTGGACGTGGACGTGGACGTGGACGTGGACGTGGACGTGGACGTGGACGTGGACGTGGACGTGGACGTGGACGTGGACGTGGACGTGGACGTGGACGTGGACGTGGACGTGGACGTGGACGTGGACGTGGACGTGGACGTGGACGTGGACGTGGACGTGGACGTGGACGTGGACGTGGACGTGGACGTGGACGTGGACGTGGACGTGGACGTGGACGTGGACGTGGACGTGGACGTGGACGTGGACGTGGACGTGGACGTGGACGTGGACATGGACGTGGACATGGACGTGGACGTGGACGTGGACATGGACATGGACGTGGACGTGGACGTGGACATGGACGTGGACGTGGACGTGGACGTGGACGTGGACGTGGACGTGGACGTGGACGTGGACGTGGACGTGGACGTGGACGTGGACGTGGACGTGGACGTGGACGTGGATGGACGTGGACGTGGACGTGGACATGGACGTGGACGTGGACGTGGACGTGGACGTGGACGTGGACGTGGACGTGGACGTGGACGTGGACGTGGACGTGGACGTGGACGTGGACGTGGACATGGACGTGGACGTGGACGTGGACGTGGATGGACGTGGACGTGGACGTGGACGTGGACGTGGAATGGACGTGGACGTGGACGTGGACGTGGACTGGACGTGGACGTGGACGTGGACGTGGACGTGGACGTGGACGTGGACGTGGACGTGGACGTGGACATGGACGTGGACGTGGACGTGGACGTGGACGTGGAAATGGACGTGGACGTGGACGTGGACGTGGACATGGACGTGGACGTGGACGTGGACGTGGACGTGGACGTGGACATGGACATGGACGTGGACGTGGACGTGGACGTGGACGTGGACGTGGACGTGGACGTGGACGTGGACGTGGACGTGGACGTGGACGTGGACATGGACGTGGACGTGGACGTGGACGTGGACGTGGACGTGGACATGGACGTGGACGTGGACGTGGACGTGGACATGGACGTGGACGTGGACGTGGACGTGGACGTGGACGTGGACATGGACGTGGACGTGGACGTGGACGTGGACGTGGACGTGGACATGGACGTGGACGTGGACGTGGACATGGACGTGGACGTGGACGTGGACGTGGACGTGGACGTGGACGTGGACGTGGACGTGGACGTGGACGTGGACATGGACGTGGACGTGGACGTGGACGTGGACGTGGACGTGGACATGGACGTGGACGTGGACGTGGACATGGACGTGGACGTGGACATGGACGTGGACGTGGACATGGACGTGGACGTGGACGTGGACGTGGACATGGACGTGGACGTGGACATGGACGTGGACATGGACGTGGACGTGGACGTGGACGTGGACGTGGACGTGGACGTGGACGTGGACGTGGACGTGGACGTGGACGTGGACGTGGACGTGGACGTGGACATGGACGTGGACGTGGACGTGGACGTGGACGTGGACGTGGACGTGGACGTGGACATGGACGTGGACGTGGACGTGGACGTGGACGTGGACGTGGACGTGGACGTGGACGTGGACGTGGACGTGGACGTGGACGTGGACATGGACGTGGACGTGGACGTGGACGTGGACGTGGAAATGGACGTGGACGTGGACGTGGACGTGGACATGGACGTGGACGTGGACGTGGACGTGGACGTGGACGTGGACGTGGACGTGGACGTGGACGTGGACGTGGACGTGGACGTGGACGTGGACGTGGACGTGGACATGGACGTGGACATGGACGTGGACGTGGACGTGGACGTGGACGTGGACGTGGACATGGACGTGGACGTGGACGTGGACGTGGACGTGGACGTGGACGTGGACGTGGACGTGGACATGGACGTGGACGTGGACGTGGACGTGGACGTGGACGTGGACGTGGACGTGGACGTGGACATGGACGTGGACGTGGACGTGGACGTGGACGTGGACGTGGACGTGGACGTGGACGTGGACGTGGTGACGTGGACATGGACGTGGACATGGACGTGGACGTGGACGTGGACGTGGACGTGGACGTGGACGTGGACGTGGACGTGGACGTGGACGTGGACGTGGACGTGGACGTGGACGTGGACGTGGACGTGGACGTGGACGTGGACGTGGACGTGGACGTGGACGTGGACATGGACGGGACGTGGACGTGGACGTGGACGTGGACGTGGACATGGACGTGGACATGGACGTGGACGTGGACTGGACGTGGACGTGGACTGGACGTGGACGTGGACGTGGACGTGGACATGGACGTGGACGTGGACGTGGACGTAAATGGACGTGGACGTGGACGTGGACATGGACGTGGACGTGGACGTGGACGTGGACGTGGACGTGGACGTGGACGTGGACGTGGACGTGGACGTGGACGTGGACGTGGACGTGGACATGGACGTGGACGTGGACGTGGACGTGGACATGGACGTGGACGTGGACGTGGACGTGGACGTGGAATGACGTGGACGTGGACGTGGACGTGGACTGGACGTGGACGTGGACGTGGACGTGGAAATGGACGTGGACGTGGACATGGACGTGGACGTGGACATGGACGTGGACGTGGACGTGGACGTGGACGTGGAATGGACGTGGACGTGGACGTGGACGTGGACATGGACGGGGGACATACGTGGACGTGGACGTGGACATGTGGACGTGGACGTGGACGTGGACGTGGACGTGGACGTGGACGTGGACGTGGACGCGTGGACGTGGACATGGACGTGGACGTGGACGTGGACGTGGACGTGGACGTGGACGTGGACGTGGACATGGACGTGGACATGGACGTGGACGTGGACGTGGACGTGGACATGGACGTGGACGTGGACATGGACGTGGACATGGACGTGGACTGGACATGGACGTGGACGTGGACGTGGACGTGGACGTGGACGTGACGTGGACGTGGACGTGGACATGGACGTGGACGTGGACGTGGACGTGGACGTGGACGTGGACGTGGACGTGGACGTGACGTGGACGTGGACGTGGACGTGGACGTGGACATGGACGTGGACGTGGACGTGACATGGACGTGGACGTGGACATGGACGTGGACGTGGACGTGGACGTGGACGTGGACGTGGACGTGGACGTGGACGTGGACATGGACGTGGACGTGGACGTGGACGTGGACATGGACGTGGACATGGACATGGACGTGGACATGGACATGGACGTGGACGTGGACGTGGACGTGGACGTGGACGTGGACGTGGACGTGGACGTGGACGTGGACGTGGACGTGGACGTGGACGTGGACGTGGACGTGGACATGGACGTGGACGTGGACGTGGACGTGGACGTGGACGTGGACATGGACGTGGACGTGGACGTGGACATGGACGTGGTGTGGACGTGGACGTGGACGTGGACGTGGACGTGGACGTGGACGTGGACGTGGACGTGGACGTGGACGTGGACGTGGACGTGGACATGGACGTGGACGTGGACGTGACGTGGACATGGACGTGGACGTGGACGTGGACGTGGACGTGGACGTGGACGTGGACGTGGACGTGGACGTGGACGTGGACGTGGACGTGGACGTGGACGTGGACGTGGACGTGGACGTGGACGTGGACGTGGACGTGGACATGGACGTGGACGTGGACATGGACGTGGACGTGGACGTGCGGGACGTGGACGTGGACGTGGACGTGGACATGGACGTGGACGTGGACGTGGACTGGACGTGGACGTGGACGTGGACGTGGACGTGGACGTGGACGTGGACGTGGACGTGGACGTGGACGTGGACGTGGACGTGGACATGGACGTGGACATGGGGGACGTGCGTGGACATGGACGTGGACGTGGACGTGGACGTGGACATGGACGTGGACGTGACGTGGACGTGGACGTGGACGTGGACGTGGACGTGGACGTGGACTGGACGTGGACGTGGACGTGGACGTGGACGTGGACATGGACGTGGACGTGGACGTGGACGTGGACGTGGACGTGGACGTGGACGTGGACGTGCGTGGACGTGGACGTGGACGTGGACGTGGACGTGGACATGGACGTGGACGTGGACGTGGACGTGGACGTGGACGTGGACTGGACGTGGACGTGGACGTGGACGTGGACGTGGACGTGGACGTGGACGTGGACGTGGACATGGACGTGGACGTGGACGTGGACATGGACGTGGACGTGGACGTGGACGTGGACATGGACGTGGACGTGGACGTGGACGTGGACGTGGACGTGGACGTGGACGTGGACGTGGACGTGGACATGGACGTGGACGTGGACGTGGACATGGACGTGGACGTGGACGTGGACGTGGACGTGGACGTGGACGTGGACGTGGAATGGACGTGGACGTGGACGTGGACGTGGACATGGACGTGGACGTGGACATGGACGTGGACGTGGACGTGGACGTGGACGTGGACGTGGACATGGACGTGGACGTGGACGTGGACATGGACGTGGACATGGACGTGGACGTGGACATGGACGTGGACATGGACGTGGACGTGGAATGGACGTGGACATGGACGTGGACGTGGACGTGGACGTGACGTGGACGTGGACATGGACGTGGACGTGGACGTGGACGTGGACGTGGACGTGGACATGGACGTGGACGTGGACATGGACGTGGACGTGGACGTGGACTTGGACGTGGACCTGGACGTGGACGTGGACGTGGACGTGGACGTGGACGTGGACGTGGACATGGACGTGGACGTGGACGTGGACGTGGACGTGGACGTGGACATGGACGTGGACGTGGACGTGGACGTGGACG